TTTAGGCATCCTCAGTGATACAAGATACAAGTTACTAAGAGTTACGAGAAGGTATAAGCTACTAAGCGACATAAGCGTCAGTGCGACATTACTCTTCGTATCCCGCGTATTTCGATTCGCGTCAAACTCCATTCTACTATATCTATAATTCCAAGTCGAGTAAAGGCGTATACTATTGTAACGTACAGAATAAGCAATTATAAGTATATTATTATTTAATAGAGTCAGTGTTTATTTACATTCACCCTTCCTTAAACTATTAACTAAGTACAATTCGATTCGCGCTAAAATCTTCATAATTAAAATCTTCATACTGCTCTTCGCAACATTCACGAAGGACGAGAAGGACAGGAAGGAAGCTTTCCACACTTTACTCCAAGCTGAGCGTACTGACGGTGATCTATATCAACGATATCGTTACCAGTCAGCAACGAAAGGTAGGACATAATATAATACTATTTCCAAATCGACTACTGATCATTAGATCACCAAATTCATTCAAGCAACTAAGTGCTGCGTAGTTGAATTACACTGAGTACGCAGCAGTTGCCTGAAGGTCTAGATGTCTTATAATCAGAGAATTGCCTTTGAATACAGCTCTACGAATTAAAGTTGAATTACACCTTAATTCACGTGGCTACTTTCAATCGACATTCACAGTCATCATTACACTGTAAATTGTCGATAACCAGACGAGTGGTAGTTGTAACGTGGTGAGAACATCAAGTTGAGTTACACTTGGTGTGCGTTCGCACGTTTAAACTGCCTCATTATCCGTTAATCGACGCTATCCCTCTTGACTAGATTTCTGCCCTGAGAGTTGAATTACACTCCCGCGGGTTGAATCTTCCTCATTAAGGAAGCTTGCCACAATCGCCTTGCATGTCGACCACACGCGGAACTGTTATTAACGAGTTGTCGGAAGGCGCACATTCTCCGACTGAATCGCGAAACGTCCATTGCTGCATGACCACTTACTTCTACGTCAACGATAACGTTATATGCCAACGGTGTTTTGAGAATACTAATAGCTCGCCTCAAACCCAGATTGGCTGTAACACGCGCCATTCCCTGCAACTAGGAGCCGATCAGATTAACTACTATTGCCGGCTGTGCAATACGGCATTAGAAACCGTTCGATTTGACACTCTCTGTCCTGCATGCACAGAAGCGTTAAGTCAATATATTAATTATTATAATTACGTAACATCGGGATGTTGTAAATCTATTATTATTGCGCTAAACGAGGTCAAACACCTGTAAATCCGAACTCACCTCCATGTGTCCGCCGCATTCTTATTTTAATCGTGAATCCAACAAATGATATAACCAAACCCTACCTTACCAGCAGTGGTTAGACAGCGTATCGGGATGTCGCGCCACCTTTTACCAGCACCGGATAAATAACGAAGATATCTGTTCAGAGTGCTTTCGCGCTAAATCCGAATACGATCAAGTTCATTACGATATAGTTATTCGCCACTACCTAGTATACGGAGATCTCGGCTATTTCACTGAGTGCGCACTGTGTGGAATCGTCGTCGACTTTCACCCTCTAGTTTCCTGCGTAGTATGCCTCCGTGCGCATAGCGATTTTATAGAGTACTTGCGTTTGTCGAACGACCGGCCTTACCATTCTTCAGAATCTACTATCGTGTGCATCACGCAGACGCGTATTCAGATAACTAACGACGGAACCACGGAAGACAATATTACCAACTCATCAGTGTAACTACCGCGGATACGTTACCGACTTATCAACAGAGCCGCGTGAGATAACGTTACCGGCTTACCGACATAACGTCTATGAATAACGGAACACTAGTTTAATCAACCGCTCTACCACTTCCTCTGTATCGGAATTTCCAATAATTCCTGGTGACAGTAGCTGCCTAAACGAATTTGATCACTCATATTCCCTCTCCACCCGACTTACGAGAATTGTGGAATATAGGACGTGACA